ATTTACTATTTTGTTCATATTTATAGAGGCTGCGGGCTATGCCATTATGATAATGATCACGATATAAAATAAAAATATAAATTGGCCTTGTGCCAACAAGTTGATTAGACCTGGAAGCTATTCGCCTAGTCAAGTCCATTAAATATTCTAGGATAATTCAATAAAGTCTAAGTCCTAAGATATCTACCTGTAGATTTATACATTTTCAAATAAGCCTGAATGTAATTTGCATAATATTACTTAGTCACTTGGGGATTTATCAATTTCTCCGAAACATTTTGTTTTGAAAAATAATTATATGTATCGATTCCACAATCCATCGGCTACACCTAGTCTTACATTTATAAGAATGGTAGAAACCCGCAATACGTTTTAGGGTGCATTTATATTTTACTGTAGTTTTTTTTAAATAATTTATTTATATAAGCACAAGTCATAATGCAAAACTTTTTTTGGAGGGGGGGTAACATTTTTCAAAATAATTTTAGGTGGCAAAAACTTTTACTTTAACTTTATATATTTATATATATATGTATTTTGTACATATATTTTATACTAGGTATCTAGTATCTACTAATTATTAACTACGTATTATAATGATCAAAACCAAACTTAATTTATTAGTGAATGTAGGTAGTGCGCAAAGTGTATTTTATTTCAATGAACTAATTTATAATTTGTACCTAAATATTTTTAACTTAAACCGAATTATGTTGGCATAATATTTTTTTTTCATTAAAGCGTATCCAAATATTGAATTAATGAGTAACATAGTTAGTATGGTGTGGGGATTGTATACGTTTTACTAGAAACGATTTAATATTTAAATCAAAGGATTTCATTTTTCTGTATTAATCTAATAGTCACATAAAATAATCAGACGTACCCAATCACAAAATCAACTTTTTTCGGTTCTATACTGTTAACAATTTGGATCAAATATTCAAATGCTTACTAGATTGTATATTCGACTAGTTTAATTATTTGTTTTGGAGTGGATAATTATGACAAAATATTATAGTGTATCTTATAAATTTAAACATACCCATAAGTATGACACAGTTAATGATATAATGACAGAGGATCAAATTAGCATATAAAATATATCAATGGTAAATTCGTCAGAGTTTGAACATGTCTTACTTATTAATTATGGATCAAAATCAGTAGGTATACAATAGGTAAAACCAAAACAGAAAGATTCGTTAATGATGTAATTTATAACTTTTCGTTAGATTTGGAGTCCCCGGATGAAATATACTGGGATTTTGATTTTTGATCCAAAGATAATTTAAAAATATTATAATAGACACAATAGTTAATAATATACTCGTATAAATAAAATTATATAATATTATCAAAGTGTTGTTAAATTAAGAAAAACGAGTAGAAGAAAATAACGAATAATACTCGAATATATATATATATCAATATTGATCCAAAAGTAACACAAGTGCTTTGTGACAATATTCTGAGATTCGTTAACGGATGTCGAAGCGACTATCTCGTTATTCTTATTATTTCTTTGAAGTGTAATATGCCACTCTTGCTCTAAATATACAAGATACATTTGGGTCTTCTGAGATGTGTACGCACGAACGACTGACAACTAAAACTTACTAACAAGAGAACTTCTAAAACGATGTCCCCTAATACAATCTAACTTAGTAACAATTCTTCACGACTTAAAAATTTGGGGAACTTTAGGGTCAAATGTATGACAAACTTGGACATAGTAGTTGTAATGTATTAATTAAATCATTCGGCAACTATATGAGTTGTGGTAAGTTTTTAAAGTAAATACTACCTACCTATAATTTTATTTTTTTTTTCAAAGGTTTGAATTTTCAACAAAAGCTATTTTTATTTACGAAATTGCGACAACAGGTTTTTTTTTATTAATATTTATTGTTTGATAATAATTAATATAAAATATTGATTGTTGATTATTTCATGGGCAGTAGATACCCCTAAAAAGTTGTCTTTTTTATGAAATATATGGGATATTACAAATTCTGATCTCAAGATAACACAAGATGGTCTAAAATTCATCCATAGCCACAGTATTAATATGATGAAACAGGAATTAAAATACAAAAATCGTCAAAAAAAATTCCTAACGGACGTGTTGTAGAATTGGTGTGATACGGTCGGTGGAAGTTGAAGTCGTTTTTCGGGACTGTGGTCGGGTTTTCCGTGAGAAAAACGCCTCGGTAGTTGTGGTGTAAACGATTAAAAGAATAAATAGAAATGCGACGTAGTCGTTGGAATGGCTGGCGTGGTGGCATCGCAATTATTTTATAATACCAAGAAAAATATTACTATTATACATCATAACGTCACGCCGATCGGAATCGCTTTATCTCCCACGCCGCTGTAATTGTTATGGAAACGTTTATATTACCTCATATTATTATAATTATTATTATCGTTTACGCGGTGCATGTCACATCGATAAACGTCGGGAAGATGCCGGCGTATATACATAATATATTATACACTAAGAAATATTATAATATTGTCGCACAAAATATAATATTCGTATTTGGGTTGGCTTCGACTGAGGCCCGAGGCAGCCAATATTACACGGTCCGAAGACTCCTATGTTGGCATAAAATAAATCTTATTGATTATTTAAATGTGCTGCTACTATATATCTTAAACTATAAAACAAACTATGACACTATTTCTCAATTTTATTACCTACCGTTTAGTAGTATGATACAATCATTGAGATATTGTAAAAAAAATATTTTTGATCCTGGTGGCCCATGATGCCGTATGGGTCTCAACAAGTTCTCGATAATAAATAATAATAAAATATAATATAATAATAAACAAATAATTAGGTATACTTTAATATATCGCAGTCGAATCATTCAACACACTCAACGTAACAGCTGTCACTATAGTCACTACCGATGTTGGAGTATAGTGTCGGCGTATGGTGAATGTAACGTCCATATGTTTATCTTAATATTATCAGAAATCGGCGTATATTATTGCAGGTAACCGATCAGTCTAATCCGATTGACGACAACATGTCTTACTATAAGCCACGGCTATAGATATGAGTATCTATAGCCGTGCTATAAGCTGAACTCTTACGTCGTTATATTATCATTAATATCATATTAATGTCCTAATAGAGTGATTTTTTAGACATCATGACACATTTTGTCTCCAATTACAAGCTTTAAGCATGTTTTTATTTAGATTTTCTGATTTTTATATTTCTATATCTCTATATTTTTTATAATTTCAGATTGGTTCGATACTTAGATGTTAGTGTTATTGAAACCCATGAGTAGATATATTCAGAATTTTCGTTTTTATCATTCAATTAAAAACTAAAGTCTGAAATATATTTGGTTTTGACTAAATGCTCAATATCCGGGATAGGTCATACAACATATCGATATAGCTGATGTGTTCTATACATATTACATTTATATCGAATTGAGTTTATGGAATCGCAACGACCAAGCCCGGTTTAATGGTGGCAGAGGGGGCATGGCCCCGGGTGCACAACGGATATCGAACAATAGTGGGCCCCTGATGGGTAGTACGTTTCTTATAGTATAATATGTATAATGGATATATTATTACTATTTGGCCCCGGGCCCAAAATTATCTAAATCCAGGCTTGTCGATGAATGACAAGTGAGCATAATATTATGATACGAGTGAGAGTGTCTGAGTGTGAGAGAAGTTATCTAAGTGGATTTTTCCGATGATTTTGTTGAATAACACCGTTGAATTATTCATAGTGGTTGGTATAGCACTCCTGTAAAGGTCAGATGGCGGGTGAGATGTTCGTATTTATGGAGTGTATATAGCTGCTATGGCATAAAAATATATAGCCACGGGGGGCTTCATAGTTGTTTACGCCCGAGAGTTTAACCGTAACAGTCGAAGGACCACTCGGTGATGCCCGAGAACAATTTGTTGATCAGGAGAGTGTTAGACGTTGCCTGTATCACTCCTATCGCCTACTATTGTGGTTGATAGGCAACCTTAGGTGCTTTCGCCTGATAGTTGGTGGGTAGGCAATTCTACGCACGACGACGACAATGACGAGGATGGGAAAGACCTATTTGTAGGAGTGAGGATGGTGCAGGTTAGTTATGGGGAGGGGGTCTCTGTGGCCGATTCGGTTTGGTGCAATGACCACAGAGCTCACAACAATAGGGATAAAACTTAAAACTACCTTAACCCTACTGCAGTCTTGAGATGACCCACTGGATTAACGCTGTTGGCATTTGTCGACCTGGACGACATGGGGCGGCCTCTCACACAACGTACAGACCTACGTTGCTGGCGGACTTACGCGCGGAATCTGACGGCACCGACGGTGACAACAACGAGCTGCCAAAGATGATGACGAGAGAGATAATGATAAATTAGACTTACGAATTTTTGTTGAAGATCGTATTTTTTATTGTAATAAATATAATGAAATTATTTTGTTCTCGCTTTACTAGCGGACCACACACACCATTCACGGATCGCTATACTAGCAGATCACAACAAATAATATTTATATGAATAATAATAATAATAATGATCGCTATATGAGCGGATCACACAGTATAAAAAACAAACAAAACGTATGGACGCTGTAATAGCGGACCAAAAAACACGAATAATAATTGAATAATTGAATAATAACAATACAAAAAAAGGGCGTTGGCCGCAACAATAATAATAACAAAAACAAAAGTTTTATCTCATAGAGATAACATTGACAACAGTTGTCTGAGGCAAAAGGCCGACAGATAATTTTTATAAGAAAAACAAAGAGAGTATATACAATATGAAGTATAACAATCGTACAATTATTATAATTTGCATAATCGTTGCTCTATAGTAACGGCAAGAGATACTGGATGAGTGGACGGAAGAGGAGGGAAGATGTCGCCGTCGCGCAGATTAGCGTCCCGCGATAAGCAATAATTGCTTGGCGCGAACATCACCGCCCACTTTGAAGGAATGTTCCTTCAAGACATTGGGAGTGGACAGAGCTTGACAGCTGGGCGTGTCAATGGTCCAGAAGTAGTTTCTAAAGTGGCCACTCTGGAAGTCCCATCGGAGCCAGGATGGAGTTCACGTATTCGTCCAATCCGCCACTGAAGAGGATGCGTCGCTTCTTTCACGAGGACAAGCTCGCCAACGCTCAAGTTTTGACCTGGTTCTGTCCATTTTCTACGAAGTTGAAGACTACTGAGGTATTCGTTCTTCCATCTGGTCCAGAAATGACGATGTAAATCAGTAATGAGGCGCCATCGCTGGTACTTTGACATAGGTTGATTGACAAGACTTGGTTCTGGAAGCGAGGTGGAAGGTTCAAGAGTCAAAAAATGACTGGGCGTCAACGCTTGTAAGTCACCAGGGTCGTTGCTGATAGCACACAATGGGCGAGAATTCAATGTTGCCTCTATTTGAGTGAGAAGTGTCAAAAATTCCTCACTTGTCAATTTGTGCAATCCAATGGACCGAAGAATTAATGACTTTGCGGATTTTACTCCGGCTTCCCACAAACCACCAAAATGGGGAGATGCGGGAGGATTGAAGTGCCAAGTTATTTGGTGTTTAGCGAGGTGCTGATGAACACTGTCTTGAAAACTTTTCGAATGAGTGAATTGATGTAGGGGTGTCAATAATCGTGACGCTCCGACGAAATTTGTCCCGCAGTCACTGTGTAATTCCTTGATGGGTCCGCGTCTGGAAGAAAATCGAGTAAATGCCATCAGAAAACATTCTGTGGACAAATCCGAACTCAGCTCTAAATGGAGCGCTTTTGTGGTGGTACAAACAAACAGGCAAATGTATGCTGTCTTTGGAATCGACCTTCGTCCACGTGCTTCCTTTAACGTGACTGGTCCAGCATAATCCACTCCGGTTATTGCAAACGGTTTCACTTGCTGCACCCGAAAACTCGGCAGACTGGCCATCTTTGGCTGAACAGCACGGGGCCTGGTGCGGAAACACGAGATACAGAGCCGTATCCGAGATCGAATAATCTTCCGTACAGACGGTATCCAAAATTCACGTTGTAGATGCGCTTTAAGGGATGCGCATCCGGGATGCTTCAGTCGCTGATGATGATAGTCAATGAGTAACAACGTTAATCGACTTTGACATGGCAAGAGAAGTGGATGTTTGTGAGAGTACGGAAGATCAGCATTCGTGAGACGCCCGCCCACTCTGAGAAGTCCATTTTCGTCAATGAAAGGATCCAACTTCCTAATGGCAGGGGAGCAACGCAGTCCGTTTTTTAACGAAGATATGTCTTCGGAATATGATGTTTGTTGGACAGAATACACTAAGCCCAACAAGGCTCGTTCTCGTTCACTCGCATTAACAATCTGTGTGAATGCAGAAGGACGTGATTTCGAGAAACGAAGACAGTAGGCGACAATGTGAAGAATTTTATCGAACGACGAGAAACGATGCATCACATCAGTTATTGAGCATGTAGTCTTGGTTAGGAAAACAGTACATTTTCGAGCTTCAGTGGAAACATGAGCATCTGTGTTGTCTGAACGAGGGACAACGGTTGGCCAATGTTCCGGTGATTCTACCAAGAACGCAGGGCCTGTCCACCACAACGGGTGATCAACAAGTTCCGACGGGAACAGTCCACGAGAGGCACAGTCAACCGGATTGTGCTGCGTGGGGACGTGATGCCAAATGTCTGGTGAGGTGAATTCGTGAATTTGACTTGTTCGATTTGCCACGAACGTGGCCCAACGATGTGGTGACGATTGTATCCAAGCTAACGCAGTGGTTGAGTCCGTCCAAGCATGCAGCTCATCGATTTGAAGACTCTTCGAGTAAGTATCAGCAACGAAACGTAATAGTTTGGCGGCTAATACAGCTCCACACAGCTCAAGACGTGGGATAGTAGACTTTTTTAGAGGTGCTACTTTAGATTTACCTGTTACAAGGTGACAATAAGCTGAAGTAGCTGTTTGTGTTCGAAGGTAAACTGCCGCCGCGTAACCTTTCTCTGAGCTATCCGAGAAAGCGTGAAGTTGCACTGTGGTAGCTTCTTCAACTGTTATACGACGAGGGATAGAGATCGATTCAATCAATTTCAGTTCTGATTGATATCGGGTCCACACTTGAGCAATATCTGTGGGTATTTTGTCATCCCATTTGAGACCAGCGGTCCAGAGCAACTGCATGACGTGTTTTGTCCAGAACGTAATGGGAGACAGCAATCCTAACGGATCGAAAACTCTGGCAATGTCAGAGAGAACTGACCGCTTTGTCGGGTCAGTTGACGATGGTTTTGTATCAAATGAAAATACGTCAGCTCTCGGATCCCATTTCAAACCCAGGATTTTTAAGTCACATTCATTTTTGTCATTGTACAGGAGTGCTGGAGACATTGCTTGAGCTTCTGCGGGAACAGCGTGTAAGATATTACTGTTATTGCTGGCCCATTTTCGTAGCTCAAACTTGGCTAACGAACACAATTGTATAAGCTGCGACTGATATTCAAGGGCATCCTTCTCGGTGTTAGCTCCAGTGAGAATATCATCCACGAAGGTGTCGTTCAGGAGAATTGACGCAGCGATGGGAAATAATTTTCCATCAACGATTGCCAATTCCTGAATTGTACGAAGAGCTTGATATGGTGCCGCTGATGTGCCGTAAGTGACCGTACAGAGACGGTATTCCTGCACTGTGTTATTTTTCGAAAATCTCCAGAAAATTCGCAGGTAATCTCGATCTGCAGGCCGCACCACAATTTGCCGATACATCTGTTTGATGTCTGTCATGAATACATATTTCCACAACCGTGCACGGAGAAGAACAATTTGAATGTCGGGCTGAAGCTTCGGACCCGTATACATGCTCTCATTCAAGGAACACCCAGCACTTGTACGAGACGAAGCATTGAAAACGACACGAAGCTTGGTGGTGCTACTGTCCGGTCTAAGTACACAATGATGCGGAATATAATAATGAAACACATTGTCTGTGTTTTCGAGTGGAACCAGCTCCATGTGACCAGCGTCCAGGTAGTCTTGCATGAAGTCTGCGTACTGGCGTTGAAGGTTCGGATCATTGTTCAGTCGGTTTTCGAGTGCCTGGAAACGGCGAAGGGCAACAGATTTTGAATCACCTAACAGAGGTGATGCTTTTCGAAATGGAAGAGATACCATAAACCGTCCAGTACTCAGCCGAGTTGTTGTATTTTTATAAATTTCCTCGGCAGCACGCTCATCTGGACTGAGATGGCGAACAACAGGTAACTCTTCAAGTTCCCAGAAACGCCTGATAGACAAGTCAAGAGTTTCAGAAACAGATAAACACATAGCGGTGACAGTTGACCGAGCACTAATGTCGATAGGTCCCATCAGAATCCAACCAAAAACAGTCTCGAAGGCAATGGGCTCGCCAGGCTGGCCTGTGGCTTTTCCATTTAGAAGTAGCATTGGCAAGATATCGGCCCCCAACAAAAGATCAACTGCCTGAGGACGATGGTATAACGGATCAGCGAGGGAGAGGTTTTGAATATGTCTCCATTGTCCCGGCACAATAGGAGCTTGTGGAGTTGGTCCTGTGATTTGTGGGACGATGTAAGTGTCCACGCAAAACGACGGTGCCTGTTGGCCACGTGGCATCACAGTGATGGTTGTTTGACCACGGACTGGGGATGTTGTACTACTGGCAAACGTGGTAATGGCTACTGTCGAATGATGTCGCTTTAGCATCAACACACACGCAGTTTTTTCAGTTATAAAACTCGCTTGAGCACCACTGTCGAACAGGGCTCGAATTGAATGACGGGTGCCATCAGCAGCGACCACATCGAGTAGGACAGTTGAGAGTAAGACTACGTTCTGAGGCTGTCCTCTGACAATCATTGCTTTGGCACTCTGACCAGCCTCGGGTTGGTCTACTGAGAGAACCGTGGACGAGGAGGGAGGCTTTTCCTTTGAGTCAAAGTGAAGCAAACTATTATGAGACCGATCACAAGTTGTGCATTTGTATTTTGAAGGGCATAATGAAGTAGCATGTCCTGTGCCCAGACAATTTATGCACAAACGGTGCGTCTTGGCTAACTGGAAACGATCATTTGGTGATTTTGAAAGAAAAGTTGGACACTTTCGGACCGTATGTGGTTTTGTACATAATGGACAGGTAACCACGGTGGATGAGCTGGTAGTAGCAGCTAGAACCTTTGGTGCAATCGGGTGACGAGATTTGGAAGTCAATGATTTTTGAGGAGGTTTTTGCTGAGACGTGAACGACGTCAGACTCGACGAGTACTGTCCAGCACGTGCTTCCGCGGATCGTACATGACTTCTGAGAAATTCAAGAAAATCGGCAGTCGACGGTTGATGTCGGTCACCCACAGTTATCTCCCAACGCGCTCGGAGGTCATAATCCAAATGATTTTCAAATATGTGGACCAAAATTGGGCTCCACTGCCTCGTAATAAAGTCCAAATTATCCAAGGCAGCAGTGTGCTCTTGAATAGATGTGATTAGAGTTTTAATTGAAGACGCGTCGTTTGCCTTGACTGTATGTGGGGATAACAGAGCATCCAGATGGATACGAGCTAAGTCACGCTTATTTCCGTATCGCGAACGTAATACTTCCCAAGCCTTTTGGTAGTTTACCGATGTCAAAGGAATATGTGCGATAAGCGTCAAGGCCTCACCTTCCAGCGAAGTTTTTAAAATCTCGAATCGCTCGACGTCCGTAAGATCAGCTGGGGCATGGGATAGAATTGACGTGAACAAATCTTCGAAACCCTGCCATTCAGTCAGAAGTCCAGAAAATGTAGGAAACTTCCGTGTTGGAAATTTGTAAGTTGAGAGGTTTCCGAAACTGGCTGAATTATTTTGTACTGACTGACAAGAGGATGAGTCGACAATTTGAGTCAATGGAAGGTTATAAACATCTGCAAACGCAACCAACTCGTAGTACAAATTATCAAACTCAGCAGAGAGCTTGAGACTAATAGAGTTATCTACCACTTCAATTGGTGCTAATTTTTTGCCAACAGAAATCTCCATAACTTGGATGTCGGATTCTGCAGTCAAGCGAATTTCTTTCAGCTCCAATAGCATGGCTGAAATTTTTGCTCGTTTACCAGGACTATTTTTATCAGATGAAAACTCGCCGGCAGCCTTGACAAAGGCGCTGACTTTTGCAATGGCACGAACCATCCGTGCCTTTGCATCGACATACGTCATCGAAACTTCAACAACCATGATGACAGAAATACAATTTGGTCGATACTAAAATTGGACGACAATGAATTCAATTCGATATGTCATGGTAGTGTAATAAACGAAGAAAATATAATGAACGTGTATTCGTTCGGTCACGGTTTGTAGGTACATCCGGCTCGAAGGACCAAAATGTTTACGCCCGAGAGTTTAACCGTAACAGTCGAAGGACCACTCGGTGATGCCCGAGAACAATTTGTTGATCAGGAGAGTGTTAGACGTTGCCTGTATCACTCCTATCGCCTACTATTGTGGTTGATAGGCAACCTTAGGTGCTTTCGCCTGATAGTTGGTGGGTAGGCAATTCTACGCACGACGACGACAATGACGAGGATGGGAAAGACCTATTTGTAGGAGTGAGGATGGTGCAGGTTAGTTATGGGGAGGGGGTCTCTGTGGCCGATTCGGTTTGGTGCAATGACCACAGAGCTCACAACAATAGGGATAAAACTTAAAACTACCTTAACCCTACTGCAGTCTTGAGATGACCCACTGGATTAACGCTGTTGGCATTTGTCGACCTGGACGACCTGGGGCGGCCTCTCACACAACGTACAGACCTACGTTGCTGGCGGACTTACGCGCGGAATCTGACGGCACCGACGGTGACAACAACGAGCTGCCAAAGATGATGACGAGAGAGATAATGATAAATTAGACTTACGAATTTTTGTTGAAGATCGTATTTTTTATTGTAATAAATATAATGAAATTATTTTGTTCTCGCTTTACTAGCGGACCACACACACCATTCACGGATCGCTATACTAGCAGATCACAACAAATAATATTTATATGAATAATAATAATAATAATGATCGCTATATGAGCGGATCACACAGTATAAAAAACAAACAAAACGTATGGACGCTGTAATAGCGGACCAAAAAAACACGAATAATAATTGAATAATTGAATAATAACAATACAAAAAAAGGGCGTTGGCCGCAACAATAATAATAACAAAAACAAAAGTTTTATCTCATAGAGATAACATTGACAACAGTTGTCTGAGGCAAAAGGCCGACAGATAATTTTTATAAGAAAAACAAAGAGAGTATATACAATATGAAGTATAACAATCGTACAATTATTATAATTTGCATAATCGTTGCTCTATAGTAACGGCAAGAGATACTGGATGAGTGGACGGAAGAGGAGGGAAGATGTCGCCGTCGCGCAGATTAGCGTCCCGCGATAAGCAATAATTGCTTGGCGCGAACAATAGTAATTAGACGAAGATTTGTCCATCGATATGATTGAAGAACTTTTGTTTTGGATTTTTTCTCACTGCACCCTGGATTCGTATGATTTACCATGCCTATTTCTGTAGGACGTCATCGCTGAACTGTATACCCATCATTAGTTGTTTGCAGATGGAAATTCTGATTTACAATGGCTTGTAGATGTACGGAGTATCTGCTTAACGTGTGACGTCACGTATTCAGTGATTGACGTTATGTTTGAATGTGATAGCCGATGATGGTGCCCATTTTCAGTTAATATATAAATAATAACTGTTTAAGACTGACGTCTAGTCACATCCCCACTGACTCGGCAGCAGACCACGTGGTCAGCGCTGCAGGTATTGCCATTAAGACACGACGATTTCTATGTAATATGTTATTACTATACGTATTATAATATTATTATCCGTGTGAAAATAATAATATTAATATACCTATCGACGTTATTATCGTTACTGTTTAGTTTTTAGTTAAGGTCAAGACACGGTATTTTTACCGGCGCGTATAAACGGCGACACCATAATATTATTATGTATAATATGATTACGACGTATATCAGTTTTAATCGTATTTTAATAGCAATATTACGGTGAGCGCACACTCTGCTGGTCGGACCTCCACGAAGTAGTCGAATTAAAACACCGTGTCCGCCACCGACGAATTTGGCTTCCGTCGTGACAATAAATCAAACGGCATTTTCCCGGACCGACGGAGGTGGTGGACGTCATTATAATTGCCATAATCATTATTATTATTATTATTATTATTATTATTATGGCACCGCCGAGGCACGGTGCAGCTTGTGCCCGTCTTAGTCAGGCGACGAACTTTAAAGTGATATTTCAGCGGTTTTCAATGATAATAACAATAATTGTCGCCGATGTCTGTCCGGCTTATACGAATTCAAACTAATTATTCCGTTTTCGAGCTCAGCTCTACAATTATAATATTATTATTATTATTATACGACCGCAGCCGTGCCGAAAATATACACGATTATTCGCTCAGACTGGCGTTTACTTACAGCTGTGGACGTTTACTTCCCTGTCACTATTTTATCCCTTTCAGGATACCGTAATTGTTAAAAGGACATTTCCCCAGCCGACCGAAACGTTTTACCTCTCTGCAGTAATATAATCGACATCTTACTCGCGAAATAAAAATACTGTAATAATCAAGAAGACAAATTTTCAATATAATATTATAATATTGTAAAATAAATGTATTATAATTTATTAAATTTAGTGAAACTACTAACACTAACTACTTAATATTATGTTTTATTTTAAGCACTTAACTTTGGTTTAGTCACGTTTTCATAATAAATTAAGAGTTTGAGACATGAGTATATTTGCAGTCTAAAATATTTTAAGATGATGAACTTTACAGTGGCTTTATTTAATAATTAATTATTATATATAATTTAAAATAATATTTTCTTGATTTTTGAATTAAAAATCAATAAATATTTTTCCTAAGTAAATTATAATAGAAATAAGCCAATAAATTCATAATTACATTCAAAATAATAACTGTACATCCGGAAGTACATAAACTTATCTTCCATCTATATTGGTCTAATCCACAAAAAATAAAGGGTGCCCTAATCAGTCTTAAGTCATCTAACGTTCTTATAACTTTATAGTGTATAATTTAAGCTATGATGATAATTAGTTTGTAAAATGTATTTACGTGTTTAATGTAAATTATTATATGAAATTAACAGTTATAGAAAAGGGATAATATTAATTATCAACTGGTTAAATAGTATCGTTGATAAATTCAAATGTGGTTACTAAATTCTAGACAAAAAGGTTCGGGGATTTATCTGACAGCACATTGATACAAAGTGAATGTTTTACTCTACTTGTAACTAAATGATATATAAAATGAATAGGATGTATGGTAAAAGCATCATGAATACACATTATGTAATAATATATGTATTATAATATACAATATTCAGGCGGAATCCCTGTTTATTTGAATAGCTTTCGAACGCTATTCGTATATATTATTATAAATGAATGGCTAGGTCTGAATTTCGATAATAAACATGACGATAATAGCACAGTGCTAAATTGTAGTTTTCATAGCAGTTAATAATATTATTCAACCGAATATTAAATATTTTACCATCGATGTATTATTTGATAGAGAATAAAATGGTCTCTAAATCTTCTTGATTACCACAGACCGATTAAAAAATATAATACCAATACAGAATAAAGTAAGGTATCACAACCTAGAAGGCATAAACATGAACAGACTTAATTAAATAACTATGTAATGCATTTTATTTAAATCATTAAAAAAAATAAAATAAAAATATTTTTATATAAGTACTGCATTTTCATGTATGTAAATAGGTTAACCGCTCTACTGTACAATTGTAGATGTCAAATATACCCCGTCATTGAACTGTAATGGATATTGTGTTAAATTGTAATTCGTTGATAAATTATTGAATAAGATAAAGAACGATTTTGTGTAAAAACTGACTAACTTTTTTGTAATTAAAGGTTACCAAACGATTATTTCAAAATTAATATTAAAATGTTAACAAACATAATACGTCATTTTTTTCCCCTTGTTATTTTAAAAATTACTGACAATTTTCAATTTGACTTCCCACAAATGTAACATTTTACATTCATACGCTTATGGTTTCTACCAGAAAATCTGTGTTCAAACAAAAAAATATATCATTATAAAATCAATACTATGATTCTCCTCTTCAGAATATAAAAAAAAATTATATTGATGATAACAAAATGTATTAGGTAGTATATAACATTTATCAGCTATTTTTGTTAACACCTGTAAATGTTTATTATATTTGATAAGCATGTAATGATTTGTACAATTGTACAAAAACATTGTTTATAAAATATAAACGTTTATATTTGATTCAGGAAGTGATTTCAACACTTCTGTGATCACAGAATCGACATAAACTTTTCAAACAAACCTCAATATACACTTTTGCAACTTCAAACTCTGTTTGAAATTGAGTAACGAAGCGAAAACATTACCTTTTGCCACAGTTATCTAGTAGATAACCATGTCTTAAACAAAGCATTTGTTGAAACGTATCGTGTTGTAGCAGAAGTTTATAAGAATTTCTTTGTGTATGTTTAAATTCAAAATGTTTTATAGTGGTTATAGACAGATAGTATTATTATGAGACCAAGTAAGTATGATGAGGTTTGCAATGGTTTTTATCTTTTATAAATATGTCATTTGTTTAGTTGAAACATTCTTTACGTAAGGCGGACCGTGGGCATTAACTTCATAAAAAAGATTCATATGGCGAATAACTAATTTTTATCGACGATAATTATTATATCGTGAACAATAATTATTTTATATCCAATTCATATAATATATTATATTAATTTTTACATCTTTTGAAAAATAAAAAACAGTTTTTCGTTATCGTGTCTATGAAATTATAACCCCTTCTCCTACGCTTCCAAGTCCCATAATATTCGCCACTTCAGCACTGACGTATATTTTGTGATTCCATCTATCTCTCCTCGATCGTCTGGTGAATAGCAATGAGTCAGCATTTTTGGCATTTCATACAAGAAAATGTAGACATATTGTACAGTCATTCTGATAGCTCTTTATCAGTATACTCTGAACACTCCACCACGTCGGTCAGTAAAGGTTGCCACGATCGGCATTTTGTCCAACGGTGACGTACAACCGAGCACAGTGTGATACAGGCTA